GAGCGTCTCCATGGAGGCCTCCGGCCTGAGCGTAAGCAGACAAAGCTGGTCCTGGCCCCCAGAGCCAGGAGAAGGGGCAGCGTCTCCAGGGCGTCCTGCCCCGTGCGGGCTCCGGGCGCCACCCCGCGCCTCCATGGCTCGCTGCGGGAGAATTCTCAACTCCAAGGCCATCCTGTGGGGTGCTGCCGATGTGGGGGCTCCCAGAACAGACAGTGAATGTCTAAGTCAGGGAGGAGGCAGCCTGTGGGGGAAGGGAAGCTGGGCCAGGCCACGCACGGACCCCATCTCTCCTTGTCCAGACCCCACAGTCCCTCCAGGGCTGGCCCGCTCTGCTCCTGGGCCCGGATGCCCCTGCCCCCATACCTCCCAGCCATTTTTCGTGGGGGACCGGCTGCTGCGCCAGGCGTATCTTTTGGTGAGAAGGCTGGACCGCATTTGGCACAAAGCTGGGCCCCGCAGTGGCTGACAGCCGTCCTGTCCCGGGGCTGGCCGCCACCGCGGGGGATAAACAGGAAACTCCATCTCTCCACTGCCTGTGCTCTGCTCTTTCCTCCCGCAGCGCGGCTCACACGCCCGCCCGTGCTCCCGCCTGCCCCCCCTGAGGTGCTCCGGCTGGCTGGGGGCTTGGCCCGCCCTCTCTGGGGGTGGCCTGGACCAGGCACCCCGCTGTGAAGGGTCCCTTGGGAGGATCGGCCTCCACGGCTCCCCACCAGGACTGTGGGAAGGTAAGGCAGCCACATTCCCGTGACCTTCGACCTCAGAGCACTGCTGTGTGGGTTGGAGGGCAGTGCTGACCCCTGTGGGGGCAGATGGGGAAACTGAGGCAGCATGAGGACCAGCATCCCAGCTTCCTGAGTGCAGATGGCCCTGCCGTGGGTACCACTGAGTTAGCAGCCTCACCCAGCCTTAGATACTCCTGCCACAGGTGAGGCCCTTGGCTGGGGAGGGGGGGAGGGGAAGGGAGGAGGAGGCCCTGCAGCGGTCAGCGGGCCAGGGGGGAGACAGCACCTCTCCTCCCAAGGTGCCCTGCAGCAGTAGCCCCACTGGGGACAGGAACACAGAGAGGACCAGAGGATGGGAGGAGCCCTGGGCCCGAACTCCAGACCAAATTCCCTCTCCCTGCACCGTCTGGGCCCCAGAAGCCACGCAGCAGCACCCACGCTCTCCTTTGCCACCCAGCAGCACCCACGCTCTCCTTTGCCACCTAGCCCCCTCCTGCTGGGCTCAGTGTCACGATCAGCACAGCTGCCTGCACTGCTCGGGGGCTGGAGGCCCGGGTCTCGGTGGCACACGGGTGGGCTGGCACTTCCAGGTTTGGGTCTTGGCCCCCAGCAGCAGGGGGAGGTAGGGCTGAGGGCTGGGACTTGTGGGCAGCAGATGCTGGCGTGTGTGCCCACGCGGGCAGGCAGACCTGGGGCCCCCCACAGGAGTCCAGCTCCCACACATGGAGTGCCAGCAGGGTGGGCTCCGGACCCCTCCACCATCCCAGGTCCGGACAGGACTGAGGGGTGTGTGACCTAGGTCGGAGGGCAAAGAAAGAACCAGAGTTCCCTCAGAAGACAAGGGCAGCTGCTTCTGAGCTGGCCCAGCCCATCTCCTCCCCCCCCCCACCCCTTGATGCTCCCTGGGGCTAGTTCCCTTCCCTCCCTGAGCCTCAGTTTCCCCTTCTGTATACAAAAGAGCCAAGATCTAGCCAGCCCCATGGTTGATTTTTCTACAAAATAGGGGCAGGTCCATGGGCTTGGGGACCTAGGGCCACAGCCTTGTGTCCCCCACGTGCTGCAGGGGTGTCTGCTGAGCATGGGGGCAGAGCAAAGCCACAGGGGCTGGTGTGTACCCATGACAGATGCCCACTGTCCTTGGCCAGCAAGCACAGGTCCCAGGCAGGCAGGAAGGAAGGAGGCCCCGGGCTTGGCCTTAGAGTTGGGGGACCCTCCTGAAGGGACCCCAAGGACCCTGTCACAGGGGACCACCGATGCCTGCCTGTGGGGAGTGCCTTCCACAGACACAGGACGAGACTGGTGCCTCTTCTGCGCTCACAGCATTCAAGGGGGCGCAGGGGGGCCATGGGGGGAAGAGGGCTGAGGCTGTGAGGAGCCGGCAGCGGCAGGGGTGAGGCTCCCTCCTGCTCTCAGTGCTGCAGCAGGCCTCTGCCAACCCGCTCCACCTCCTTTGCAAGTGGTCCAGCGGGGGGTGCGCTGGACAGCCATGGACAGCTGTGGGGCTCAGTGCACACGGAGGGCCAGAGCAGCGAGGGAGTCCAGACACTGGGCAGCGGCTGAAGCAAAGCACCCTGGCACCCCAAGGGCGGCCAGTGTTGGTGAGGCCCGGCTGGGCTCTGGGTGCCTCCCGCCCTCTGCGGTCTGGGTGCCTCCGTGGTCACTGCCAGCCGAGTCCTACAAGCCTCTCGGCGGTCATGGTGTCATGTTGTCTTCATGTCCAGCCTGCCTGAGGCCTCCTGTTATACTTACCATGTGGGGGGAGCGCTAGCTGAGACCCCAGGGAATTGAGGGCTCCTGTGTCCTGGTCTCACCCCTCCAGCATGCTGAGGCCAGGGGAGGGGACGTACTGGATGTCACCAGCCCTGAAGTGGGGCTGGGGGCTTCCGGCCTGGCCCTGCTTGCACATCTTTTTTTGGGGGGGTCCGGTTTTGGGGCCTGGGCACTGTCCCTCAGCTCTTCAGCTCAAGGCTAGCGCTCTACCACTTGAACCACAGAGCCACTTCCAGCTTTTTCCTTTTTTGCTTATGTGGTGCTGAGGAATCGAACCCAGGGCCTCATGCATGCAAGGCAAGCGCTCTACCACTGAGCCACCTTCCTAGCCCCCTGCTTGTACATCTTGAGAGGCAGTGGGCTCTTTGCCCTTCAAGCAGCTCTGAGACAGACAGACAGACAGAAACAGAGATGAAGAGAGGTAGAGATGGGGGGAGCTGGTATTCCAGGAGGTGACCTGACTCTCAGCTGCTCTCTGTCCAGCCCGTCCCTCCCCATGCCCCTTCCCGTGTCACCCATAAGCCCCTGGGGACCCAAGGGACAGGCTGTTCTCAGACTGCCCATCCTGCTGCACCCCACCAGGCCCCTCCTAGCTGAGGGCTGCCACCTGCCCTGGTCAAGGCCCCCCGCAGACTGCCTCTCCCTTGGGTGTCCTCCTCCTCATTCCACACCCATCTGGGGGCATCCTGGGAAGAGTCCCAGCTCCCTGGCCCAGCCACCCAGAAAGCGTGGGCCCCTCTTCAGAGGCCCACGCTGTGGCAGCTCCGAGGACCCCAGCGCTCCGCAGCCCTCGGCTCTACACTGCGCCTCCGTGTCCCCGGGGTCCCCAGCCAGGCTCAGCAGAGCCCAAACATGGGCTTCTGGATGACTTGGGGCTGGGCCCTGAGGTTCCCTGGGAGAGCTCCCCTCCCCCTCCCGCGGCTACCCCCCCCCCCCCCCCAGCCTCCTGTTTGTCGGCTGACAGATTCCCATTATCAGGGGAGAACACACACAGGAAGTCCGGCCGGGAAGGGCCCATCCCAATCCTGATTTGCCCTGGACGGAGCATAAAAAGCCGCCCTTCCTCGCCTGGGAGGTGCCTCTGCCCCAGCCCCGAACCCCACAGGCCACCATGGAGGCTGCGACCGCAGGGCAGGCGGGCAGGCCGCAGGGCAGGCCGCCCTGGGGACAGGTGGGCAGGCCGCAGGACAGGCCGGCCCCAGGAGGGGGCCCAGGGCGGCCCGTTGGCTGGATGTCCCTGCGAGGGGCTAGGTGCACACCTGGCCCAAGGAGGCAGCGGTGGTGGCTATGACCTGGGCGACATCAGGTATGCAGATGGCCCTGTCAGGGACAGGGAGAGGCCCCGGAGGCCCCAGGGAGAGGGCAGAGTGGCGGTGGCTCTGTGAGCTGGGCTGGAGCCTATCCAGCTCTGGGTGCGATTCCCCTGCTTTTCTGGTCGTCCATCCCTATGAAACAGAGGAGGCTCCTACGGCCCCCTGGCCACCAGAGTGGATCCCCTCTTCCCGCCTGCTGGCCAGCAATGCTGCGGGCCAGGAGAGCTGGATGCAGCCCGGCACACGGCCACACCGCCTGGCCCCACTCTGCAGCCTGGGAGTCCCTGGGGCCACAGGACTCGGCCCTGCTGGGTTTGGTGCCCTCTTCTTCTTCTGCTGGAAGACTGCGGTCTTCTCCTCTGCGTCCCCCTAGAAGAGGATGCGTGCTCCCAGGAGATCAGCCTGAGGGAGGACCCCCAAAGCTGTGCGCCTGGAGGCACTGAGCAGGCAGGGTCTCACCTCCTGCCAGGTGGCTGTGGGGGCTCACGCTTAGGGAGCTTGGTGGGAGGCTGTGGGGTCACATGGGGTCCTCACAAGGACCTGAGGGCAGCCTCCTCTTCTCCATCCCCCGAGTCCCTGTGTCCTGTCCAAAGGCCCAAGTCCCTCACACTGTGGCAGAGCCTCCCAGGCCCCTTCCCTAGCCACGCCAGGAGTCTGAGAGGCAGGTAGAGCAGAGCGCCAGCTAGAACTGTCTCCAGAGCAGTGCTGGCTTGCGGGTGCAGCCGGGCGGGGGGCAGGGCAGAGCCACTACCCTGGGCTCCACTGTCAGTCATGCTGGACTGGGAGAGAGCTTCCTGGCTTGGGCCAAGGGTCCGAGAGCCAGCCCCTCCCCCCCGCACCCTCAGACTTACAGGCCCCACTGCAGCGCAGCACCCCCCCATGCAGTGGCTGCCTGAATGGCAAGAGGCAAGGCCTCATTGTGGGGCTCTGCTCCAGGCCTCTGACTCTCCCCCCCTCCCCGTTCTTTCAGCTCTCGTGGGGCACAAGAAGTCCAAGCCAGAATGCCCAGGTGCTGGCCTTCCAGCTTCATCCAGAGGCCTTGTGTGTGGAGCCGGGCTGTAGAGACGGATGCCCAGCTCCGCTCACCCCGTGTCTCACCCCAGGGCTGAGCGGCAACAGCCCCATCTTACAAACGGAGGCCTTGGCCTGTCCCCAGGGTGGGCTCTAATCCTATCCTCTGACCCACAGCCTCAGCGCCCCCAAGGCATGGAAGGCCGCACAGAAGAGCAGCTGCCACCAGCACCCGGGGGGCGACCCACAGCCCTTTGACAGGTGAGTCCCAGGCAGGCCGGGCCAGGGGCACCTCTTCCACGGACACGCACACCTACCACACACACACGTAAGGGTCTGGCTAAGTTTAAGGCAGTGACAATCACCACCCAGAAATGTGGAGGGAGTCCTGGGGTTAATTCAGAAACGCAGGCTTGGAGAGAGGAGGCCAGCAGCTAACCAGAGGCCTCAGGTGAACAGTGAACTGTGTGTGTGTGTGCGTGTGTGTATGTGTGTGCGTGTGTGTGCGTGTGCGTGTGTGTGTGTGCGTGTGTGTGCATGTGTGTGCGTGCGTGCACGTGTGTATGTGTGTGCGTGCGTGTGCATGTGTGTGCGTGTATGTGTGTGTGTGTGTGCGTGTGCGTGTGTGAATTCACAGCGGGGAGGAGCACTCAGGCCTGGTCCTGACTGTCCTGAGCCATGTTCTAGGTGCTGCCAGGCAAGGGCCCTGGCAGCCCCCTCACCACCGTGTCATCCTGCTCCTGGGCCCGGTCCCCAGCGGCCGCAGCCGGGCGGGGAGCCGTCCGGAGTCAGCGCAGGTCGGACCCCTGGCTGCGCCCCGGGCGGCTGCGGGGCTCAGGGGGCGCTCGGGGCGGCCTGTCTCAAGAGCCCGGCTCTGGCCGACTCACTGCGCACCGGCGAAGGCCTCCGCGGCGGGGCCTCAGTTTCCCCGTCCGCTCAATGGGGGGCGGGGTCGCAGCCCACCGAGGCGGGCTGGGCTCGGGGCCGGCGCGCGGGGGCGGGGCCGGGGCGGGGCCGGCGCTCGGGGGCGGGGCCGGGGGCGGGGCCGCGGCGCGGCGCGGTGGCGGCGGCGGCGGCGGCGGCGCGTGCGCGCCCCGGACCGCGCGGTGAGTGCGGAGGGAGCCGGGGCGCGGGGGCGCGGGGCGCCGGGGCAGGGGCCGTCCGGGCGGGGCCGGGGAGACCCGGACGGCCGGACGCGGGGCTGGGGTCGGCCACCTGGCCGACGCCGAGCGAGCGATCGCGGGGACCCGAGAGGTGAGCGCGCGGGGCCGCGGCCGGGCCGCTCCGGGCGCGCGGACCCCTCGCCCCGGCCCTCGTTCTGCTGCCGCCGGGAGAATGGGCCCAGCGGCCGCGGGAGCCGGCGCCCCCTGCCGACGGCCGGGGCCCCCCCGTGCCCGCGACCCCCAGGCCTGGCTCGGGGCCTCGGCCCCCCCCCCCCGCAGCCAGTCCGGCCCGGCCCCCCCCGCGAGCTTGGGGCCGGCAGTGGAGAGGACCGACCCCCGCGAGCCGTCCAGCCCCCGCGGCCCCACGCCCAGACGCCCTCCTGGCCGTCACAGGTCGCCCTGGGGTGGCCAGCCCCTCCCCCCGGGGCCCCTCCCCAGGGGCTGCTGGACGGGGGGGCGGGGAGGTGACATCAGGGCCGTGGTGGCACCGGTGGGGCCGCGATTCTCATCCACCTGGGTGGGGGCTGCGCCGCGGCCCCGCCGGCCCGGCCGCACACCGGGGGAAGCGGGGTCCGCGAGCGCCGGCCGCGCCGCCGCCTCCTCTGGCCCTGGGCAAAGCATGACTTTCAAAAACCCGAGCCTCCGTGCAGGCGCAATCCTGGCCCGGTGCGCAGGGCTGAGGGAGGGCGCCCCCAGCTGCGCTCAGTGCCGCTCCTGAGACCCAACACCAGCCCGGGCCCCCTGCCCTCCTCCCTCCCCTCTGCCTCCAAACAGCCGGGCAGGAAGGACCCGCCTCCTGCCGCTTCCCTCGGCCCCCGCCCGCCAGGGCCTAGGTGGATGCAGGGACCTGCATAGCCCCAACACCGAGTCAAGTGACCAGTGTCTGTGCGAGGCCAGCCCTGGACAGCAGCCAGGGCCCCACAACTTGAGTGTCACTGTCTGTGGGACAGACCATCCGAGCCCGAGGAGGCCCTAAGACCCTAAGTGTGGCTGGTGTCTTTGGGGAAACTGAGTCTGGGAGAAAGAGGTTCGACCCTCCTGTCTACAGTGCAGGCAACCATGACAGCCTGGTGGAGCCTGTGGCTCCTGACCCGTTGGCTCCTCATTGTAGGAACCTCGGCCCAGACCAGTTGTGGACTGGGGTTCTTTGGACTCCTAGGAAGCCTCACCAGCCTCCTGGCCACTGCTTAGCTATTCAAGGAGAGGCCTGGACTCCAGTGACCCCAGAGGGGAGCAGGGCTGCTCCATTACCCCAACTGGGCACAGGCAGACCCAGGGGACCAATGCCTTAGGAGCCCATAGGCTCTCGTACAGGGACTCGAGTCTGGGAAGGACACCCCCTCTGGTGGTCACCCCTAAGCGGCCCTGGCATCTGCTGATGATGGACACCCACACCCTGGGACCCGCATGCCCCGGGCACACATTCTGCCCTGGGCAGATATGGAAGCCACGTCCAGAGGGCTGGGATGGCCCAGCAAGGCCCTGGCCTGGCAGGGTCCCACGGCCATGGGCACCACAGCTGCGTGGAGGGCAGGCGAGCCATCCAGTCACCAGGGAGCGGGAGCAGCCTGTTACCCTCCCGGCCCACCTCACCTCCAGTGCCCTCTCTGTTCTGCCCCGGAGTTGAGGGGCCTCCTGGCTCGCTGATGGCTGAGGGGCCGCCTAGCTGGAGGGGTGGTTCTGCCTGAGGGGGCTGCTGCCCTTGGAGGCCTTGGATGGGAGCCGGAAGCCTTCCTGGCCTTACTTGGCTGTGTTGCTCGCTCCAGGCCCCTGGTGGAGGCAGGCCCACCTGGAGCCATGCGGGGCTCCCGGGAGCTCCCCCTGCTGTGGTTTCTGGTCCTGGCTGCAGGAGGCACTGAGCACGTCTACAGGCCCGGGTAAGCCTGGGCGTGGGTGTGGGTGGGGAAGGGGCTCAGCCCTTCCTAAGGCCGCCCACAGCCTTCACGGTGGCTCTGGCCAAGAAACTTCCCTCCCGTCCCCCCGCAAGCCCTTCCCCCATGCTCGTGGGTCCTGACTCCTGACTCCGCAGTGCTGTGGTTGAGCCAGGAATCCTCTAGCCGTAGGGTGTGTGCTGTGGAGGTCCAAGGACCTGCTTCAGAGTCCTTCGTGCAGCGTGTGTACCAGCCCTTCCTCACCACCTGCGCTGGGCACCGGGCCTGCAGCACCTACAGGTGAGCACCCGCGAGGGGTGAGCGCCCACCGGCCAGCAGCCCTCCCTGCGGAGCCTGAGCTGTGGGGTCCCTGGTGCGGGCTGGGGGTGCGGTCAGGTCTGAGCATGCTCCCGATCACCGCGGAGGCCAGCCTTGGACGGCGCCTTGAAGAGCACTCGTGCTGCAGGTGCCCACCTCTGCTACCCTCTGCCCTGGGATGCCCACCGCTTCCTCCTGGGCATCGCCAGCCCCCTGAAACCTGCCTGTAATCCCGGTCTGCCCTGCGACCCCAGCCAGCACCCCTCCCTCTCCTGGTGATGAGTTCTGAGGGAGACACCCCCTGATGTCCCGAAGGGGAGGGGGAACAGATTCTTGTTCTAAGGACAGGGACTCCCGCCTCCTCCTAGCCTAGAAGTATCTAGAAAAGTCTCAGACTCATAAACTCCTCTCCAGATTTCAGAGGCTCTTAAACCCCCAAAGTGAAGGAGCAGCTTTAGCAGAGGCGTCTGGGGTCCAGGAGAGGAAGGGCTGGGCTCCAGCCCAGCAGTCGTTGCTGCAGGCAGGGCCGGCTGCCTCTGCCTGTCGGTCCTGCACATGGCCCCCCATGCTGCAGGGGTCTGCTCATCGCTGGAGACCCCGGGGGGCCGTGGCCCCACGCTGCAGTCTCCAAGAGACCCTTTAGGGACTCTTGGGGGTGACCCAGTAGTCAGGTGCCAGGAGCTGGCCGATGGGGTCGGGTGCCCCCCGGCATGTCCAGGCAAGGTCCAGCTGGGGCCAGCCTCTGTGGGGTCCCTGGAACGGTCCCTTCTCCCTGCAGGACCATCTACCGGACTGCCTACCGCCGCAGCCCTGGATTGGCTCCTGCAGGGCCCCGCTACGCCTGCTGCCCCGGCTGGAAGAGGACCGGCGGGCTTCCTGGGGCCTGTGAAGCTGGTGAGGGCAGTGGGACCCGTGGTGCCCAGCGTGGGGGTGCCGCGCCTCGGCTGCTGCCCAGGGCTCTTGGGACACTCTGGAGTGGGTGACATGCTTCCCCCACCCACAGCAATATGCCAGCCACCATGCAGGAACGGAGGGCACTGTGCCCAGCCGGGACGCTGCCGCTGCCCTGCAGGATGGAGGGGAGACACCTGCCAGACGGGTAAGGCCGGCGCCACACTCCGGCTTGTACGTGGACAAGGGCTGGCCACCTGGTGCCCACGGATGGATGGGTCTTAGTGGGGCGTAGTGTGGCCGAGCCTCACTCGTGCAGGGCTGCTTGTCTGTTCCTGCAGACGTGGACGAATGCAGCGCCGGAGGGGCCGGCTGTCCCCAGCGCTGTGTCAACACGGCGGGCAGTTACTCGTGTCAGTGCTGGGAGGGGCAGAGCCTGTCTGCAGATGGGACTCTCTGCCTGCCCAAGGGAGGGGCCTCCAGGATGGCCCCGGACCCGACAGGTAAGGCTCAGCCCCCACCCCTGCTGCGGCACCTGGCCTGAGGCGGTGGGTAGGCGGGACGGATGGGGACGGATGGGTCCAGGGCTGTGAGGTGGAGGTGGCCCGCCCTGGTCAGTACCACGCGCCATGTGAGAGGCCAGGCACTCCAGGTAGAAGGTGGTAGCAGGGGCCCCTTCCCCCGAGGGGAGGTTTCTGGAAGGCACTGTGGCAAGTTCTCCGGGAGGCCTCATCTCAACCGAGAAAGCGCAAGAAGACCCCACCCCCGGACACGGCCCCTCGCTGGTGACGGGACATTATTACTTTTGGTACGCGCTGTGACACTTCAAACTCGTACCGTGAGTAATAATGCGCCGTCAGCAGCCCAGCGTCAGGAGCTCGCCGCCCCGGTGAGCACCCATCAGGTGGGGCAGGCGAGTCCACCTGGAGCCTGTGGAGCCTGTCCCGGGTGGACAGCTGGGGCAGAGGCGGTGACTCCAGGGCTTGCAGCTGCCCAGCGCCTCCCTGGGGCGGGGACGCCTCCATCCCTGGCCCGGGCTCCCTGACCCGCGCTTGGATCTGCCCCCAGGAGCAGAGGCGGTGGTGCGGGAGGAGGTGCGCAGGCTGCAGTCTCGTGTGGACACGCTGGAGCAGGTGAGGCTGGGCAGACAGGTCTGGCTGGTGCTCACAAGGGCTGGATTGGGTCAGGCCCGTAGACCCTTGCCATTTCTGGGGACATAGCTCCCGTCTGCCAGTAAAGGTTATGGGGCTCCACAGGGAGGCCTTCGAGGACCCCAGCTCTCCTGTTGACTCGGGGTCCTCTCTGGCTTGGGTTATGCCAGGTGACACTGCTGCTCGGACTCCCCGGGCTGAGGAGAGCGTGGCCACCCCCACACGTCCTGTCACACCGTCCTCTGTACCAGTCTCAGGCTCTTCTGGTGCAATAGCTCCCCCTAGTGGCAAGGAGAGCCAGCGCTGAGTTGAGAGGCTGACGGGTCCCTGGACTTTCTGCCCCAACCCCACCTTGCAGAAGCTGCAGCTAGCACTGGCTCCCCTGCACAGCCTGGCCTCGAGGGCCTCGGAGCACGGGTTCCAGGACCCTGGCAGCCTCCTGGCCCACTCCCTCCAGCAGCTGGACCGCGTGGACTCCTTGAGTGAACAGGTCTCCTTCCTGGAGGAGCAGCTGGGGTCTTGTGAGTAACGTGTGCTGCCACTATCCCTGTGTTCCTGGGATCTGGGCCCAGATGGGGTCTGGGCACCAGGGCGGTGAAGCCAGCTCTGCCTCCTCTTCCCCCCCTAGGCTCCTGCAGGAAGGATCTGTGAAGGTCTCCACCTGGCCACCCGAGGCTGGACAAGCAGCTGCTCTTCATCCTGCCCTGCAGTTCCTACCTCCCAGCGGGGCCTGCCCCACTCCCCGTGAAGGCTGTGAAGGGCCTCTGCTCCCCTTCCCCTTCTCCAGAGCCCCCGGACTTGGGCTCAGGATGGGGGTCTTCCTGTGTGCACCCCACAAGTAGCATTTCTCAGGACCCAAAGGGCCCGTGGTACGAGGCCTCCCTCCCAGAGCAAGGCCAGTGGGCCTCAGCAGCAGCCTCCTGAGGCCGGGCGGGGAACACTGGAGACTGAGCTGCTATGCAGTGGCTGGACTGGGGGCTGCGCCCTTCCTCCTCCCTGCTGGGTGCGCCATCACCACAAGAGTCCAGGCAGGTGGTTCCAAGGCACGGCTTCCTTCTGGTGGTAGGCTGGCACCACACACAGCTAGAGGTCAAAGGGCATCTTTAGCCATCAGGCCCTGCCTGTTAGGTAGAGCCACACCCCACCCATTGGAAAAAGCATTTTTTTTTTTTTGTCTGTTGTGGGGCTTGAACTCTGGGCCTGGGCACTGTCCCTCAGCTCTTCAGCTCAAGGCGAGCACTCTACCACTTGAGCTACAGCACCACTTCCGGTTTTCTGGTGGTTTATTGGAGATAGGAGTCTCACAGTCTCTCCTGCCCTGGCTGGCTTTGAACCGCGATTCTCAGATCTCAGCCTCCTGAGTAGCTAGGATTACAGGCGTGAGCCACCAGTGCCTGGCTGGAAAAAGCATTTCTGGTGGTGAGGCTCACTCCCACGGAGGGTTGGGGAGAAGGATTTCCACACTGGACCCCTGGGGTGTGCGTGGGGGACGGGGAATATGTGGGCATTGGGCTTTGTTGTTCTTACAACCGTATTCCTGGACACGCAGATGCCGGGAACCCTGCCCCTCCTCTGTAAGGGTCACAGCTCACTAGGCACTTCCAAGACTTTGTTTATAAAAAGAAAAAACAAAAAGCACAACACTGCCATGCGCTGTCCTCGAGGCGGTGAGGGGCGGCCCGCTGCGCTGCCCTGTGGCCCTGGTGGCCCAAGACGCATGTGATGCCTGGACACCTCCTCTCCCGAAGGCCTGACACAGGCCAGGGTCCGGTCTCCAGAGCCAAACTGTACCCAGTGGGCCTTGGGCAGCAGCCACGTCAGAAGACCTGGGGCCAGTGCCTGGTTCCCTGGCCAGCTCTGGCCAGTCCTGCTTGCTCCTTGGCTGGCTGCCCAAAGGCCTGGCTGTCTAGCCCTCAGGCCTGTACCCTGGAGGCACAGGTAAGGGCTGCAGAGCCCAGAGGGGCTCCCCCTAGAGGTGTCAGAGGGGCCTCCGGCTTCCTGAATGAGAGCCTTGTGAGCCAGGCTGGGGGGCAGACACAGTGATATTTGGCAGCCCTGGAGAGGGACTCTGTCCATTCTGTGGCCTCTTCTCCTGTCTGCTGTCCCCATGTGTGGCCTGGGCTACTGGGCTGGTTGGCCATCAGGCCCCGCGGCAGCGCCGTTCTGGGGCGCTTGGGATATGTGGTGGAAGGTGCTCCTCATGGCTTGGTGGCAGGTGTGCACGAGCTTTGGGACGTCCGCCTCGGTGAGGCCACTGGTGGGGATGGCATCCAGCACTTGCACCTTGATTGTTCCTGGGGGGACAGTGGGCATCAGTGGCTACCCGGCCTCTCCTCCTCCCCCCACCCCCCACCGCCTACCCCCCATCTGGGAGAACCGGAGGCTCCAGCTGGGCGGGCTCCCTCAGCTCCTGGCTAGAGTGTATCACTGAGACAACACTGACAGTAAAACAGGTTTCTAAGTGTGTGTCCAATGGGTTTCCACAGCTCTGTCCTCTCCCCTGGCCACCACCAATCATTTCCGCCCCCAGGAAAGTCCCTCAGCCTGTCCTAACCAGCCCCTGCTGCAGACTTCTGTGCTGGTGTGAATGGGGGTGGGAGGGTGCAGATGTGGGAAACCAAACCAGGCACCTCCCACTGACCTTCAACCTTTGATCTGACCTTCCCACCTGGGCTTGCCAGGGCTTCTGCTTGGGTGAATGTGGCAGGCTGCCCACTCATGATGGGCACTGGGGTCCAGGCTACCCACATGGGGGTCTGGCCCGGAAGACCATGTCCCGGCATCAGACGCCACCGCAGTCCTGTCTGTATGGATCCTCGGCCTTTAGACAGCCTCTGTCTTCTTACACAGAAATGGGCCCCCCCACCCACCCCGGGCCCGGGCCCAGAGAAGACAGGAGAGGAAGTAGTGCTGGCCCTTGACTGAGACACAGACTCAGGATCCAAATCCATCCACCCGTTCACCACTCACAGCATTCCTCCTGCGGGGGCTGTGCCCCCTTCCCCCAAGGACAGGGCGGGGCTCACCTGAGGTGAAGAGCTTGGTCCTGAAGTTGTAGAAGGAGGAGAAGGAGGAGTACACCACAGGGATGATGGGTACCTGCAGGCAAGGACTAGGTCGGGTGCCACAGGCTGCCTTCCAGTCCTGCACCTGCTCTGCTCCCGTGTGTTCGCGACAGACCCCAGCTCTGTATCCTCCTTGTACCCCGACATCAGACCCAGGGAGCCTTCTTGCTAGCTCACTCTCTCCACACTGGAGGGCAGGGCCCTCCCTATGGCCTCCCTCCCCCTCCCCCCTGGGCAGCCCTAGTCAGGGGAGGGGGTAGAGCCTGCTGGAGTTCCTGCAAGATACCAGGGTCAAAGCCACAGTGCCAGGTGGCCCCTGGGGGTGATCATTAACCACAGGGAGCCTCAGGGGCGTGGCTGGAAGGCTGTTGTCTAGCCCTGAGGGAGGGGCTGGGGACAGGAAAAGTGGCTCTGGAGATGGCCCTGGGTCCCTTCCCCCCATACCCTCAGCCCCAGGAGACAGGCAAGAACGCAGAACCACTGGAGGGCCTGGGCAGGGTGGTTGCTGGTCAGAGCTGGGTCCCACCCCCTGGTGCTGGTGGGGGCTTCTAGGACATAGTGGGTCCCGGACAGCAGGAAGCACACAGCCTGGCACAGGGCAAGGCTCACCATGGTGGAGGGACTGAGCTGAGGCTGCAGCCTGAACCAGCCAGGCAGGACAAAGCCCCTTCCCCGGGCCCCTTGGTGGTTCTTTCCAACATGGGTCCTCATGGCAGAGGAGTGGAGGTAGCAGAGTCCCTCTACCCCCTCTGCTCCACACCGCTCCCGGGGCACCCCTAGGGCTCGCTGTCACGCCTCCCTCCCTACGGGCCAGGGAGCACACACAGGCAAGGTCAGGGAGAGCTCCCAGCACTCCACCTACACCCGAGTTCCAACCAGGCCCTGCCCACACTGCAGGCCTGTGGTCCAGCCCACGCTGCGCCCCAGCCCCAGTGAAGCACACTGCTCAGGACCTCCAAAACCACCCCATAAAGCTCCACTTGGAGCCGGGAACTAGTGGCTCACACCTGTAATCCTAGCTACTTAGGAGACTGAGATCTGAGGATCACGGTTCAAAGCCAGCCCAAGCAGGGAAGTCTATAAGACTCTTATCTCCAGTTAACCACCAGAAGTGGCGCCGTGGCTCATGTGGTAGAGTGCTAGGCTTGAGCTGAAGAGCTGAGGGACAGCGCCCAGGCCCTGAGTTCAAGCCTCATGACCAACCAAAACAAAAACCCTCGGGACTTCTGCCTGGCCAGCAGAGCAGGAAGTGGGGTGTCAGCAGCGCCTGGACCTGATCAAGAGCCAGGCTGCGCCTCTCAGCAGGCGAAGGGCCTGACCCCCGGCTCCCTCCCTACAGGTCAGACTGGCTTCTACCTGGCCAGTTTGGAGGTCATCTCAGCCTCCTTTGACCCAACCCCCCTCCCCCCCAAGGAAGGGTGGGGCTCACCTGGGCCTGGATGGCCAGGTAGAAGGCACCTTTCTTAAAGGGCAGCAGGTCGCCATTGTCATTGCGTGTGCCCTCAGGGTAGATCCACACCTTGAGCTGTGGAGAAAAGAGTTGCTGCTGTGGGGGGGGGGGGGTGCTGGTGGCCTTCAGGAGCCCCAAGAGCCAGGCGTCTCCTCCCCTCCACAGGCTCAGCCCCTGCCACTACCCACTTGCAGACATGCTCTGTGAGTACAGAGCCCTGCCTAGCCGCAAACTCACATTTTCCCTGACCATGCGCCCGCCCAGGTCGGCCATGACGGACACAGCGGTGCTGGAGCGCTGCCGGTTGATGAAGTGGACACCCCCCAGGTACATGATGAGGCCCACAGGCCCCAGGAACACCAGCTCCCTCTTGGCAATCTGCACACAGCGCTTCGGAAGGATCTCCATGAGGCCTATATGAAGTGGGGCAGGAGAAGGGGAGGAGAGGGGAAGAGACAGAGGACACATACACAGATACATTCAGAACCAAGGCAGTGACGTGTGCGAGGCCTCCCCCGGAGGAGGATGAGCCGGGCACACCCCACACACGATGCCAAGCCTTCCAACTCTGCCTCCTTCCTTATACAGAAGATGGGAGCTCTATACACTCACGCATAGGCAGCCTGCTGCCTACTTTGGGTGTGCCGGTACTGGAGCTTGTACTCAGGGCCCTGTGCTCTTGTCTGGCTTTTTCTCTAAAGGCTGACACTTTACCACTCATCCCAGCTTTGTGGTGATTAATTGGGCAGGGTGCCGATGGCTCACGCCCGCCCGTAATCCTAGCTACTCAGGAAGCTCAGATCTTAGTATCGTAGTTCAAAGCCAGCCTGGGCAGGAAAGTCCCTGAGACTCTTATTTCAACCACCAGAAAACTGGAAGTGGCACTGTGGCTCAAGTAGTTGAATGTTCGCCTTGAGCTGAAGAGGGACAATGCCCAGGCCCAAAGTTCAAGCCCTGGGCTGGGAAGGTGGCTCAGTGGTAGAGTGCTTGCCTTGCATGCATGAGGCCCTGGGTTCGATTGCTCAGCACCACATAAGCAAAAAAAACCGGAAGTGGCTCTGTAGCTCAAGTGGTAGAGCGCTAGCCTTGAACTGAAGAGCTGAGGGACAGTGCCCAGGCCCAGAGTTCAGGCCCCCCACTGGCCAAAAAAAAAGCCCTACCACCAACCAAAAAAAAAAAAAAAAAAATCTCGGGCTGGGAAGGTGGCTCAGTGGTAGAGCACTTGCCTTGCATGTTCGAGGCCCTGGGTTCGATTCCTCAGCACCATGTAAGAAAAAAGCCGGAAGTGGCGCTGTGGCTCAAGTGGTAGAGTGCTAGCCTTGAGCTGAAGAGCTGAGGGACAGCGCCCAGGTCGAGTTCAGGCCCCACGACTGGACCCAAAAAAAAACAACAACAAAACAACAACAACAACAAAAATCTCAGGGGTTTCCTTCCCTAGGTGGCTTCAAACCTTGATCATCAGATCTCAATCTCCTTAGTAGTGAGGGTTACAGGTGTGAGCCATTGGCCCTGGCTGCCTGCTGCTCTTACCACATGTCTGGCTCTGCTTCAGCTCAGGCCTCTGGCTCATGGGGGCCCAGCCTGCCCCTCCCCTGTCCCCACCCCGTACCTTGGGTGGCAGCTTACCCATCATGTCCAGGATGCTCTGGTGGTTGGAGATGATGACACAGGGCCCTTCCGCCTCCAGCTTCTGCCGTCCCCGGACATCAAAGCGGAGGTTGTACGCATACTTGAAGGACCGCACAAACCAGCTGATGATACTGAGGATGGAAGCAGCAGTGAGCAGGGCCTGCAGGGCAGGGTGGGGAGGGGACAGGGAGAGGGTGCTCTCACAGCACAGAACGGAACGGCTCAGGAGGGCCACCCTGGCTGAGGGAAAGCAGGGGAGCTGTGCAGGTAGGCTGCTGCTGGCCTTCACCCCCTCCCTGGGGCCACCCAGGTACGGCTGGCAGGCACACAGAGGTCAGCTGGAAGAGGACAGGACTGGATCTCACTGCTGAGGCCACCTTGAGTGCCCTGTAGCCTGTATCCAGAGGTCCTCCCAGGCACTGGCTGGGCAGGAGGCCCTAGGGAGGGGCCCAGACATTCTGCTCTGCACACCCGAGACAGGACATTAACCCATCGCAGGTTAGCACACAGGGATGAAGCCTAGGGAACTCCCTCTGCGCTCCTAGCACAGCACAGGGCTGTCAGCAACACGCTGGGGAGCACAAGGTTGGGGAGAATGCTCCACTCTCCAGGCAGGTGAGCTGAGCCCAGAGGGAGGCAGGCCCTCTATGGGCAGCAGAGTAAGTGCTCAGGGTCCACAGCGCAGACTCCTGACACCCCAGAGTTCAAAGGCAGCCAGGCCTTCATTCCACCCAAGCCTGTGGTCATGTCACCGCGGCCCCGCCCTCACGGCACTCCCACCGGACCACTACCCCAGCTTGGAAAGGTCAGGCTACTGCCTGCCTCCACGGAGCTGTGGCGGGCTCTGGGGACCCTGTGGAAGTGGAACCCGAAAAGCCTCGTCTAAGGTGACTGGAAACCAGCACTGACTGGCTCCAGGGGAAAGGGGCGTGCCAGGTCAGCTGCGCGGAGCAGAGCCCTGGGATGGTGTATCAAGCAATCCACAGGGAGTGCTCACCAGCTCCGCTCCCTGTCAGAGACTTGCAGACAAAAACAAGAAGAGCTCCCTCACCTGCCACAGCTCACACACTGGGAAGATGAGCACAGCCAGGACCTGGGGAAGTGGTGCTGGCAGGCAGGAGGCAGGGGTGTGTCTGGAGGGCAAGTGGGCTGGAGAGGGGTGGGGGAAATGATTACTGAGGAGCCCTGCCCAGCCATCAAGACTCCAGGAGTCTGCCCTGAGGCTGTAAGTTTGGGGTGCTTAAGATAGTTGGGATCAGCAGATCTAAACACCCTCGGGAACTGAAAAAGAGAAGGAAGGTGGGCGTTTCTTTTCAGCAGAGGACAGAGCTGTGATTTTTCCCTCCCATAGTGGGGCCTGAACTCTGGGCCTGGGCGCTGTCCCTCAGCTCTTCAGCTCAAGGCGAGCGCTCTACCACTTGAGCCATAGTGCCACTTCCGGCTTTTTCTGCATATGTGGTGCTGAGGAATTGAACCCCAGGCCTCATGCATGCAAGGCAAGCGCTCTACCACTGAGCCACCTTCCCAGCCCCAGAGCTGTGATTTTTTTTTGTGATGCCTGGGATAGAACCCAGGACCTCGCCTGGAACCAAGCAAGCACTCCGCCTGGATTTGTAGGATTTATACAGGCTGAACAACAGGTACTCTAAACCCCAAATGCGCAAATCCCTTATGTTCTTGGAACAACTGACACCTGACCTCAGGAAAGGGACTACAAAGGGCTGGAAGCACTTTAGAAACATCTTCAGTCTGCACGGACGCCCAGGAGACATAAACAAACACACCGTGTTCACACTGGCGTCCCAGCACCAAGACAGCTCATCCCAGGTTTGAAACACTTCGAGCCCCGTGCATTTTGGGTAAGGAATCCTCACCCTGGAGAGCAAGGCCCTGCTTTGCTGCTTGTCTCTCTTTTGTGTTTCTTCCAAGAGGAGGGACACCAGCCAAGCACCCTAGGAGCTGCAGTGGACACCCGCAAGCCCACCAGAGAAAGGTGAAAGGTCCGTTGTAATGGGGAGGGGGCTGAAAGCCACCCCTGCTGCCTGCCCGACACAGATACAGATCAGCCAAGCACCGCTCTGGACCCAGCTCACAAAGGCAAGTCCTCACCCCCTGCACAGAGGTGGCCAGGGCCCGTGAGTGACCAGCCCATGCCACAACGCGTCCCTGCAGCTGGCGAGAGTCTGAGCTCCTTCCATTCCATCTGTGACCTGGGCTAAGAACTTGGCCTTCCTAAGCTTGTAGGCCATCTGCACACGGAGAGCAGAAGCAGCTGCATTTCATCAGGCTGGGACAGAACACAGTGGGTCCCCTGGGAACCTCCCACCATTAGTGCCAGAGTCACTGAGTGACTGCTCACCTCTGTCAGCCCCAGCTCCAGGAAGCAGTTCAAGGACAGGTTCAAGCCATGGGCCTGCCTGTCCTCGTGGAAGGCCACTAGTAACCCTTGCCCTCACTACTGGTGTTGGGCTGGGCCAATCCAGGGAGACCTGGAAGCTCTCTGGGTGGAGCCTTGCGGGAAGGGCCATCTGCTTGGCCTCATCAGAGTGGGGACAGCAGACTCCAGAAAGCCAACTGGTTTGCTATCAAGTGTCCCGGTAGTGGAGTGCCAGAGGGCCCGGGAGAGAGACGGGCAGAAGGGGACCAGAGGAGAGCGGGTGCCAGGAGGAAGGGGACCCTGCTGGCTGGAGGGGTGGGTGGGGAGTGGGCACAGGATCTTCCTCCCTGGCCAAACACAGCCCTCCCCAGGGACCTCCACTTCTAGGGTCCACAGAGACGCGGGCAGAAGCCCATCCTCTCTGGCCTCGGTCACACAAGACCCGGCCTCCCTCCAGGCCCAGGGCTCAGGCAGGCCAAGGAGAGATGCAGCTGTGTGGCCCTTATCTCTGAGTCTGTCGTGAACCCAGGGGCTTCATGGCTGGCGATCACGGCTACGAGGCTGGGTCCTGTCTAAATTCAAAACCTGACCAATGCCAACAAGCCCCTGGTCTCTGTAAGCACAGCAGTACCCATCTCTTCCCCAAGCCTGGGGTGGGCACAGATGGCAGAGGATGAGGACCTGGCCCTGGGATGCAGCACCAGCATGCCATCCTTCCCAGGAAGGGTACTTCCTCTGTCCTTCAAGGCCCACGGCTCTATCCCTCTTAACCCGAAGCCGAGCCCAATCCAATACACGCAGCCTCTGCTTTGCTATGGCCTGCCAGGTAGGTGGAACACCTCAACCCAACCCCTACACAGAGAAGAGACCACCCACAGCCCAGCCTGAAGTCAGCCTTGGCCCTTCCATTACCAGCACCGCTCCCTGCACACACAGAGGCCCACTGCCAACGGCAAAGGCCTCCCGCACCAGCCTCGACCTCATAGGAAGAGGAGTACGGATGCCTGTCCAAGAGCTCAGGGCCAGGGTGTGCACAGGTGGAAGACTAAAGGTTCTGTGTGTGCGCGCTGGTCCTGGGGCTTGAACTCAGGGACCTGTGCTCTCACTTAACTTTTCTGCTCTTGGCTAGCAATCTGTCACTTGAACCACACCTCTATAGCTTTTTGCTGGTTAACTGGAAGAGAAGAGTTTCACAGACTTTTTACGCTGACTTAAGTCTCCTGGGTAGCTGGGATTACAGGTGGGAACCACTGGTGCCGGGTGACAAGAACATTTTTCTCACTCTGAGTTCCAGCTATATCTTACTTCTAAGACCTTGGGCAGATGCCTCCTTTCTTCCTACACCATACCATCAAACTGCCCTGGAAGTCTCAGCTGGTCATCTATAAACTGACGCAGCCCACCATCCCATTTCCAAGGACAGGGGCATCCATAGTGCCCAGGCTCTGTCCCATTCCAGGCTTGGGGCTCCAGCCCCGCTCAGCCTGTCTAAGCTCAGGCTTGGAGAACCAGACACAGGCAAGCTTCCACTCCCACGTTCTTCCCCCACCCCCAGAACAAGTGGCAGCTTAATGACACGGCACCCACTGTGCATTTTCCACATTGACTCTTCTGCACCCTCCAGCCGGAGGTGCCCATGTTGACAATGTCTGCACCTGTCCCTTGATCTGCTGGTACAGGGGCGAGGCCTTCACAGGGACCTGAGGCCCAGGGGCAGGCCTTCGGTCTCCTGGCCTCTGTCTGGTCTGCAGCCCTCCCTCCCTTGGCCCTGGGAACCCAGATGCCAATAGAAACAAAACACCTACTGTTACCCAGCCAAGGTCCCCAGGCCTCAGGGCCATGGTCTGGGTGGTGCTGGGGTGGGAGGGAGGGTGCAGGAAGGCCTTGGGGGCCTGCGTATTTTAGCTGGGCATGCTGAACCATGGGCTTGGCAGTATAGGAGGGCCCTGTACTGGCTTTGCCATCCTGCTAGGCCTAGCCCTAACACAAAAGGGCAGCTGGTGACTGGATTTGGCCCCCGGGAAGCTGTGGTGCAGGAAGAGCAGGCTGGGCTTCTCTGAGAGCAGGAAGCTGCTAGTAATGAGGCCACCACTGCAGTGCACATCAAGCCTGAGGGTGAGACCCACCATGGATGTCCCAAGTCAGGCCTGCTGAAAACGCCTAGCTGCCAGCCTGCACTGGGACAGGCTCGCTCCAAGCAAGCAAGCACGCCCTCCCTGGCTGGGCCCAGGGACAGCAGAACTTCCTCCCAGAGACATACCTGCCCCGGACTTTGAGCCATCTATCCCTTCAAGGTGTGCACACCTGTCCTTTGTGTCCTTTGTGTGTGTATGCCAGTACTGGAGCCTGAACTCAGGGCAGACTGAACTCAGTATGACTGGCTTTTTCGCTCGTGGCTGGTGCTCTATCTCTTGAGCCACAGCTCTGCTTCCAGCTTTCTGGTAGTTAGTTGGAAATGAGTCTCACTGACTTTCCTGTCCAGGCTGGCTTCAAACTGTGATCCTCAGATCTCAGCCTCCTGAGTAACTAGGATGACAGGTGTCAGCCATGGGTGTCCGGCTCCATCTGTGCAGAAGGGCCTGGATACTGGTGTGGGGGTCGCTCCCCACGGCAAGCCCCTTCCTATGCCCGTGGCAGTCCCTCCAGCCTCTCAAGGGCAGGCCGGGTCCTGGGAGACCGGGGCCTGGAGAGGCCCTCTGCTCCCACCGAGGACGGCTGTGCAGGGACACGCTGGCCCTTTGCCCCGGGAGGGCACCGCCCTGCCCGAGGTGGGTGCCACAGAACAGCGGCCAGGCCCTTGGGCACCCTCAAGACCACCTGGCATTGATGCCCGGGGGAGGCGGCCACAGTCCCCGCGGCGTGGGGCCCGCGAAAGCCCGGCGCCCCTCCCCGGGGCGTGACCCCAGCCCCCCCCAGGCCTGCACCCTGCCCTCCGCGGCGTTGCAAAACCCCTGGCGGGCTGTGGGCAGAGGGGATGGGGCAACCGTGGGGGCGGGGCCGCCGGGGCCAGGGCGGCGCGCGGGTGTCCGGGGATTTTCCACACACCCCCGCCCCCCCCTCCCCCGTCCGCTCGCCCCCGCGCCCCCCCCCCCCGCCCCCGGTCCGCCCGCCCGGGCCGGCGGCGGCGGCGGCAGCAGCTCCCGTGCGGCGGCGGGAGAGCGGAGAGCGCGAGGTGTCCCCCACCTGCGGCCAGCGCAGCCTCGGCGTCCCCGCCCCGGAGGCGGGCTCGGCCTCGCCCGGCCGCGCGGGGCGCGGGAATGAGCCCGAGCGCGGGACTTTGTGACGCGCGGAGCCGGGACGCCGGGCGCGGGGCGCGGGGAGCCGGGGCGCGGGGAGCCGGGGCGCGGGGAGCCGGGGCGCGGGGCGCCGGGAGCCGGGGCGCGGGGCGCCGGGAGCCGGGGCGCGGGGCGCGGGAAGGAGCCCGAGCGCGGGACTTTGTGACGCGCGGAGCCGGGACGCCGGACGCCGGGCGCGGGGCGCGGGGACGCCGGGAGACGGGGCGCGGGGCGCGGGGCGCGGGGCGCGGGGCGCGGGGCGCGGGGCGCGGGGCGCGGGGCGCGGGGCGCGGGGCGCGGGGCGCGGGGCGCGGGGCGCGGGGCGCGGGGCGCGGGCGGGGCAGGAAGAGGCCGAGGAGGGAGAAAGTTCGGGAAGCGGAAGCGCGGCTCGCCCGCCCGCCGCCCGCCCCATGTTGTCCACCGAGCGCCCGTCGCCCGCCGCCCTCCGCCGCCCGCCGCCCGCCCCCCGCCGCCCGCCGCCCCCCGCCTCCCCCCGCCGCCCGCCGCCCGCCTCATGTTGTCCACCGAGCGCCCGCCGCCCGCCGCCCTCCGCCGCCGCGCGCTCCCCGCCCGCCCGCCCCCCGCCGCCCGCCTCATGTTGTCCACCGAGCGCCCGCCGCCCGCCGCCCTCCGCCGCCGCGCGCTCCCCGCCCGCCGCCCGCGCGCCCCCCGCCCGCCGCCCCCCGCCGCCCCCCGCCGCTCGCCTCATGTTGTCCACGGAGCGGCCGCCGCGGCGCAGCAGGCAGACGGCCGAGGCCAGCGCGGACGCCGCCAGGCAGAGCGCGCAGTAGGCGCCGAGCTTGGCGTAGAAGCGGGCGGGGCGGCTCAGCGCCGGCAGCAGCAGCAGCAGCCCCAGCAGCGCCGCCGCCAGCCACGGCCACAGCGCCATGCCGCGCCCCAGCCCCGACGGCGCCGCCGCCCGCCGCGCCCGGGCCCCTTATTGCGAGGGCCGAGGGAGGTGGCTAGGTACGGCCGCCCCGCCCCGCCCCGCCCGGGACGCCCGCCGACCCCCCCGCCCCGCCCCGCCCCGGGACGCCCGCCCACCCCGCGGCCCGGTGTCACCCACCGCCCGCCCCGCCCCGCCCCGCCCCGGGACGCCCGCCCACCCCGCGGCCCGGTGTCACCCACCGGCAGCCCCGCCCCGCCCCGCCCCGCCCCGGGACGCCCGCCCACCCCGCGGCCCGGTGTCACCCACCGGCAGCCCCGCCCCGCCCCGGGACGCCCCGCCCCGCCCCGGGACGCCTGCCGGCCGCGCGTCCCCACCCCAGGCCTCCGCCCTGCCCTCAGAGGGCCGCGCTGCCCTCGCGGGGTGAGGGGTGGGGACTGTCACCCTGCCGGTGGCCTGGCCCGGGTGCTGCCACCTGCCCTCCAGTCCAGCCAGAGCCCCTGCCATGCTGGCCTCCAGCCCTGCGTCCAGCTCAGCCATCCAAGGGCACACAGGCTGCACAAAGGGCCCTTGAACGGCTTCTGAGTGCCCACTGGTCACCAGGTCGGACACCTGGCCGGTTGCCTGGCCCTTTGGATCCACTGAGCCCCGCCCCACAGGGCAGCGGCCTGGATGCCCAGGGATTGGGGCTGGAGCCTGGGTGGGACTTGGGGCTTCCGGGAGTGAGTGCCAGTGAGTGTGTGTCACCAGGAGTGTGTCATCAAGGCAAGCCCCTGGCAGACATCAGGTGATTGTGTTCACAGCAGCTCAACCCTCCCATCAGGGCCATGCTCCCAGTGAGTACTCACTGGGCCCTCACTCGCTGCTCTAGGAGGACACACACACACGCACGCACACGCATGCAGCCCCAGGATGGGGGAGTGCACACACACGCACACGCATGCAGCACACACGCACGCACACACATGCAGCCCCAGGATAGGGGAGTGCACGCACACGCATGCACACACATGCAGCCCCAGGATAGGGGAGTGCACGCACACGCATGCACACACATGCAGCCCCAGGATAGGGGAGTGCACGCACACGCATGCACACGCATGCAGCCCCAGGATGGGGGAGTGCACACACGCACATGCATGCAGCACACATGCACGCACACGCATGCAGCCCCAGGATGGGGGAGTGCACACACACGCATGCACACACATGCAGCCCCAGGATGGGGGAGTGCACACACACACGCACACACATGCAGCCCCAGGATAGGGGAGTGCACACACACGCATGCACACATGCAGCCCCAGGATGGGGGAGTGCACACACGCACACGCATGCAGCACACATGCACGCACACGCATGCAGCCCCAGGATGGGGGAGTGCACACACACGCATGCACACACATGCAGCCCCAGGATGGGGGAGTGCACACACACACGCACACACATGCAGCCCCAGGATAGGGGAGTGCACGCACACGCATGCACACACATGCAGCCCCAGGATAGGGGAGTGCACGCACACGCATGCACACGCATGCAGCCCCAGGATGGGGGAGTGCACACACGCACATGCATGCAGCACACATGCACGCACACGCATGCAGCCCCAGGATGGGGGAGTGCACACACACGCACGCACACACATGCAGCCCCAGGATGGGGGAGTGCACGCACACGCATGCACACACATGCAGCCCCAGGATGGGGGAGTGCACGCACACGCATGCACACACATGCAGCCCCAGGATGGGGGAGTGCACGCACACGCATGCACACGCATGCAGCCCCAGGATGGGGGAGTGCACACACACGCACATGCACACGCATGCAGCCCCAGGATGGGGGAGTGCACACACACGCACATGCATGCAGCACACACGCACGCACACACATGCAGCCCCAGGATAGGGGAGTGCATGCTTGTCAGAGGCTCTGCTGCAAGTCCCACAGCCCACCACCCGCTGGTTTCTAACGTTTTCTGAGGAAGAACAGGGCCACTTCCATCACACCCAGAGACATTTCATCCTGAAACTATCAGGACCTTCTCCAGTTCTTTTCCGTTCCTCAGCTACCAGATTTTCAGCTTCCTGGAGTGGCAGCCAGATGTCAGAGACAGTGCTGAGGTGTGGGCTCGGAGGGCCTGGGGTCCCCAGACAGTATTCTGAGAGCCACCACCCCCGACCAGGGGAGGCCTTACAGGCCAGCTTCCTCTGACCTAGACCCCAGCTCACTGTCCTCCCTTCCCTTTCTCCCCGTTTTGTTCTGTTTTACTTTTTTGCTTGGGGGGGGGTGGTTCTTTGGGGGAGGGTTGTAAGACCGGGCCCTGTTTCTCGGCTAGTCCTCTCTCATGGGCTCAGGGCTGCTGGGGATCCCCCAAGCGGTCCTCAGGAGGTGAGGCCCCCAGTCTTTCTCTCTGCGTCCTGATGTGAAGCCGAAAGCAGGCTTTTCCCAGGGTCTCCAGGAACTGTGACAAAACCTGACCAGGCCTTCCGGTCACTTCCTCCTCCCAGGGAGGTAAGTGTAGGAAGACAACATCAGCCTTTCCTCCTGCAGGAAGGGGAAGAGGACAGAGCCTGGGGCTGGGGAGGCGGTTGGAAGGAGGAAGGCTGTTTGCGGTTTCCTTGCCTGACCTTTACAAGCCAGGTTCCAGAGCCTCTGGGACTACTGAAGTGCCCAAAGGCAGGGGTCTACACCCAGGCAGCCTCTAGTTTGGTTGGGGACAGGTGGCGGTCCCCATCACCCAGGGGGTGCTGTCAGTGCCAGGCAGTGGGCTTGTCCCAGCCCCAGGATAGCCGAGAGCCCTCCTGGGCATTTGCTGGGCTCCAGCCAGACACCACATGACACCAAGCGGCATGGTCAAGGCTGAGCCTTCCTCCTGAGGCCCACAGGAGGGCCTGGCCAGGAGGGGCAAAGCTGTAGCAGGAGGAAGCTGGGCGCGGGGCAGGCTAGCACAGAGGGGCACGGGCTGCCAGAGGGGCACAGGTGGCCAGAGGCAGACCCACCTGCTTGCCTGTCTTGTGTCTTCTTCAGCGGGGCCCCGGTGGGGTCCGTAGTCTTTGTCTTGGTGTCGGGGAGGGAGAAGGGGGCCTGGAGGTACAGACTGAAGGGAGCAGAGGAGAAGCAGGCCTGTGACCCTGGGCTGCGGTGTGGGCTGGGAGGGGTGGGCAGGGCCTTGGGCTTTGAAGTCTGGTTGACCTGGCTTCTGACTCCCAGTTTCTCGGTTTCTCGCTGTGCAGGAGCACTAGGGTTCTCTGTAAAACAGGGACACTTGCCTCAACTAGCGTGGCTCACGCCTGAGGCCAGGGTGGGGCCCTGCTGGGACCCTCCGCACCCTCTGCCTGCCAAGGAGGAAGGAAGCGTGCTTAGAACAGGACCAGGGGACCAGTCCCTCCTCCAGAAGCCCTCGGTGGTCAGCCGCAGGGGCTCCTCTGGGGGGGTGGGGGAGATCGGAACCCAGCTGGAGGCTAGAGGAGGAAGGTGACACACCAGAGCCCAGCAGAGGCCCCACAGCTAGCCTGTCACTGGGGCTGGGGCCAGCTCGGAGCTCTAGGCAGGTCTGTGTCCCCAGGGTTACCCCAGTACTCTGAGCAGGCCTGTGTTCCTGGGGCCACCTCAGAGCTCTGAGCAGGCAGGCTCCTTCCTGTGCCTTTGAGGCCTCCTGGTGGGCAGACCACAAATGCCACCCCCCCACACACACACACCTGTAAATAAAGCAGCCTGTGAATCTTTCATGGGCTTGTGCTTAAAAATAGATGAAGTGAGGTGAGCAGGCCAGATCCCTGCCCCCTGCAGGGGGTCAGTCCTCAGACTCCCAGGGCACAGGGACATGTTGTGTGTATAGAAGTACCACCCAGGTCTCTGAGTCACCACACGGGTGCTGACTGAGGGCCCCCACTGAATGCTTCAGGCTCAGAGATCACACAGGATCCCAAGGAGGAGCAGGAGCCAGAGGCCTGGGCTGGGGGGGGGGGGGGGCAGACTGCAGGCCCAGAGGCCTGTCTGCAGGAGCCAGCCCCTACCCCAGAAGCTCCACCCCACCCAGGGCTGCTGGGGCTAGGGTGAGGGTGGGAACTGACAGGTGTCAGAGGCCAAGAGCTTCCTGCTCCTCACGTCAGGAGGACCTGAGGGCTGGCTCACATGGGGAAAGAAGGCCCTGAAGGACAAGGGGACGCCCCGGGACCCCAGCCTGCAAGAATGGCTTGGTCCAGAGGTCAGCTGAAGTCAGCCCAGCCTGCCATGGGTCCTGGGCAGCCTCAGTGTCCATCTTGGCTTCAATGTGTGAGCCCAGCTGGTGGTGTGAGGCCGTGATGACCGGCAGGCAGGCTGTGTGCTACCTGACCTCTGGCCCAGCTGGCGTCCCCAGCACTGCCAGCTGTGCTGGCCAGCCCCAGGCAGGCAGGCGGGAGCAGACCCACCTGAGCCAGGAGGCGGGGCCACTTGCCCCAAGGCCTTCTTGAATGAGGCGTAGGCCCCAGAAGGCTGAGCTTGGATCAGACTCATTTCCCTGTGTGGCCCGCATTCCACCCCTCCCCAGCTTCCCACCTGCCCTGGCCAGGTTTGCAGAAGCCTATGAAGCTCTTTGCCACAGTCTGGTCACCCAGCCTGTCCCCCTGTGGTGGGGGCCGAGCAAGGACAGGGAGGGCCTGGGTCTGCATTTGGGCTGCTGCCCACTGCCCCACCCTGCCAGAGTGGTGTCTCAGCCTCCCCAGCCCAGGAGCCCCTCCCTCTGGTGCAGGGAGGAGGCGGGGCAGCTTGTGCTGCCCCAGCACTGGCCTGAGCTGGCCCCTGCATGGGCTCAGTGTAAGGGCAGTTTCTCAATTTCCTAGGTGATCCCACTAGCAACACAGGTTCCCAGCAACACAGCAAGTAGCAGGCTGAGGGCCAGGCTTCCAGCCCAGCAGGCCACTGTCCTGTGGGAGGGAGGACAAGGCTCTTGCTGGAGCAAGACTGGCTGCGCTAGGAAGAAAAGACAGGGCACACTGTCCGCGCCGTGGGTCCCAGTGGCACCTGGCTCCCCTT